GATCCCAGGATCCTGGGATCATGACCTGAGCCGAAGGCAGACGCTTAACGACTGAGTCACCCAGGCGCCCCATTCAATGCATTTTTATCAACACAGAAAGTTCTGTTGGACATTACTGCTAGAGAGAAGGCTGCGCATATGTATATGGTGTCTTTAAATTGCACTAACTTGGGTGCCTGGGTGAACTAACTTGGGTCCCCTGAATGAAACATTTTTAATTGTTCTAGTTGCTTCAGTCCCTTTGGGGGTAAGGTTAAGAGGGAAGAACTTTTCATTTTTCTCTTTTAAAGCCTTCCATGTCTTCCCCCCCACTGACCTTGTAGTAGCTTTATTTTTTGAAGAAATAAGTAATCTCCTGGAGTTTTTGAACAACTTGATAAGGATTTATGATGTTTAGTTAAAAAAAAAAAAAGGCAGGCCCTATAGTTGTTATTTGCAATGTGTGCTAAGCTATGTACAAAAGCAACTTAGAAAAAAGCCTGGAAGGAAATGAATGACATTGCCCTGGTGGTTTGCATCTCCAGGTGGTGAGATTAGGTGTGATTTCCTCTCTGGTTTTTAAAATGCTCAGTATTTTGCAAATCGCTCAGAATAGCTGGTGAGATTTTGATGATAAGGGAAAAGCAAAAAATATATATATTGCTTCACCGTGAAGGGGTGGGGCAGTTTGGAGATATTTAGGTCCACAGCTTTTAATGACCACAGCCCACAGTAGGAAATAGTCACATCGTGACCAAACACCCGTCTCTCTCCTTCTCTTCCCTCCCTTCCTTGTGCTTTATTATTATTTTTAAAGACTTTATTTGAGAGAGAGAATGAGAGAGAGAGAGAGAGAGAGAGAGAGCATGAGGGGGGGAGGGTCAGAGGGAGCAGACTCCCCGCTGAGCAGGGAGCCCGATGCAGGACTCGATCCCAGGACTCCAGGATCATGACCTGAGCCGAAGGCAGACACTTAACTACTGAGCCAGCCAGGTGCCTGTTTTTTGTTTTTTGTATTTGTTAATATACCCAGGAAACAAGTTGTTCAAAAGAGGTAGGATTTGCAAATATTTCCTCCCAGTCCATGGCTTGTTTTTGAAGTGGGAAGTTTTTACATGTTTGTACAGCCAAATTTATCTTAAGGGATCATGCTTTTGGTGGGACTATATTGTATTGCTTTAAGAGGCAGTTTTGTTAAGCTTAGTATTTAATTTTGGCCACTTCTGGAGGCAGCTCCTGTGGTGAGGGGGAGCCCCAGGAACGGTGAAGATACCACCCATTTGTTAAATGATTCTCAGAGAAAACCTAAGTCACTGCGGTATCTTTGCCATTTTGGGAAGATTAATCATGACAGGACATATGAGTTGCAATTTGCCCCCTGAATTAAAGTAAAATGCCCTGTGAATTATAATAAAATGTGTATCACATTTAACTAGTTTTCTCTGCGCTCTTAGGCATTTGATACTGAACTTCTAAATTAGAAATTTCCAAGGTGGGGCGCCTGGGTGCCTCAGCCATTAAGCATCTGCCTTCGGCTCAGGTCATGATCCCAGGGTCCTGGGATGGAGCCCCGCATCGGGCTCCCTGCTCCGCGGGAAGCCTGCTTCTTCCTCTCCCACTCCGCCTGCTTGTGTTCCCTCTCTGGCTGTGTCTCTGTCAAATAAATAAAATCTTAAAAAAAGAAATTTCCAAGTGTTGGGCGCCTGGGTGCCTCAGTTGGCCAAGCAACTGCCTTCGGCTCAGGTCATGATCCCAAAGTACTGGGATGGAGCCCCACATCGGGCTCCCTGCTCCTCCCTCTGACCCCTCTCCCCTCTCATGCTGTTTCTCTCTCTCAAGTAAATAAAATCTTAAAAAAAAAATGGAGATTTAGAAGTGTTATTGCCCACTAATCTGAAAAGGTAGCATGTAACAGGTGATCGTTAAGAGCTTGGTACCTGCTCAATGCTCCATTTACCCTTCCAGATCTAAGAAATCTCAGGGGCGCCTGGGTGGCTCAGGGAGGTTAAGCTTCAGACTCAAGTTAGGCTCAGGTCGTCTCAGGGTTGCGAGATGGAGCCCTGCCTCAGGCCGTGCTGGGCGTGAAGCCTGCCCATGATTCTCTGTCTCCCTCCACCCCCTCCCCATCTCTAAAGTCTAGGGGCGCCTGGGCAGCTCAGTTGTTAAGCGTTCCTCCTGCTTGTGTTCCGTCTTGCTGTGTGTGTCAAAGATAAAATGGGGCACCTGGGTGGCTCAGTCGTTAGGCGTCTGCCTTTGGGTCAGGTCATGATCCAGGGTCCTGGGATCAAGCTCCGCATCGGGCTCCCTGCTAAGCTGGGAGCCTGCTTCTCTGTCTCCCACTCCCCCTGCTTGTGTTCCTGCTGTCGTTATCAAAGAAATAAAATCTTAAAAAAAAAAATAAAATCTTAAAAAAAAAAAAGTCTAGCTTTACTCTTCTAAAGCATTAGATTTCTTATTTCAACCCTCAGTGCCTAATGCTACCTGCAAAATGTTTCCGGTCTGTTTCTTTACACAAAGCACAGAACTCCTGGTGTGGCAAAGACCAAAATAGCCCACGTACCCCACAATGATGGGACTGGTTTCAAGATGGTGACAATTGCATACTTTGCAGCTGAATTAGACAGTGTAGGTTCACTGAGCAACCTTGGGCCATGATGGTTTTGAGAAATACACCTATACAGGACTCAAGGAAATTCCTGGAGAGCGGTAGGTAAAAACTCATCCACGAAGAACAGGTTGTAATCCAACCGTTGTGGAAAGCAACTGGAGCATGGCCAGTCTTCTCTTTCAAGCCCCCCTTTGCCTGCCAAGGGCCTGCCTCCACAGCAGACACACACTGCAAAGACACCAACTTTCTTTAAAAATAATTTATTAGTTTTGGATCACAAAATACAGGGAAAGCACAAGGGCAGTGCCTGAGACCCCTTGGCTGTACTTCCCAGGCTACGCATCTGAACTATGTCTGTACAACACCAGGCTTGGCCCCCAGCACCCTCACACCCTAACAGCTGCAGAGTATAGCACCTGAGCCTGCCGCAAGTTTAAACACACCCCATTCACAACACAGGGCTCCCATCCAAACATTCTCCAGATCTCTTGCCAACAGTGAAATAGTTGCTCCAACTATCAATTTCTTACAACTCTCAGAAATGAGGTTACAGGCAACAATGCCTCAAAGCTCTTAAGAGTTTAACCTTTTAAGAAGGCCCTTCTGAATTAACAGCAGTGACTAAAGCCCTTTCTGTGTTCCCAGCATTCTAAGCCCCAGGCTGCCTGTGGCTCCAGACAGCAGTCCCTGGGGGTCCCCCATATCCTAGGGCGGCGATGGAGGAAGGGCAGGCCAGGCCAAGCATGAGGAATAAACAGTCAATTTTATTGGGCTCAGACCAGGAGTCCATGGGTCTTGAGAACCTCTGTGTATTTATCGATTTTCTTCTCCACATTCTTTTCGGCCTGTTTCCGTAGCCTCTGTGGGGTGAAGAGGGACAGATGGTGGTCAATGGCTGCTACCCAGAACCTTCATCATCCCAGGAACCCAATTCTACCCCCCGTCCCAAGGTGGGCCTCAAGTAGAGGCCTCCGGGACCAAACAAAGACCACTGTGTCCAGAGAGTTCACCCGCAAGGCCCTGCCCAGGAGTGTGGCGCCCTCGGGTTCCAGGCCATCCTCACCATGAGCTGCTTCTTCTTCCGGTAATGGATTTTGGCCTTCTCCTTTCTCTTCTCCTCCAGGGTGGCTGTTACTGCCTGGTACTTCCAACCAACCTCGTGAGCCAGGCGCCCCAGGTAGGCAAACTGTGGGGGAGGGAGAAGAAAGAAGTCCTAAGCAAGCGGAGCCAGGGTGGCTGTGGGACAGGGAGCGGACAAGCTGTCCTAGGTGACCCAACTTTCCCCAGCAGGCCCAAGTTAAAGACACAGCCACCCTGGGGGCTCCCTGCTCCTGCTGGCATCAGCTGAGCCATCGGCATTATCGGCACTGCCCGCAATGGCATCCGCAGACCATCGTGAGAAAGAACCATCATCTGCCAGTCTTGGGGCTCAAGTTCGCCCCCTAGTGAGACGACTCAGTGAAACCTGGAACTTACCTTCCGTGTAGGCTTCAGGCGCACCACCTTGAGGGCAGCAGGAACCACCATCCGTTTTTTCTGTTAGAGAAGGAGAGGGGCTTAAGAGCCCTGGAGTAAGAGACAGGCAGGGAAGAAGGCTGGCTGGAATAGCGTCTCAGCCAGTGCTGTTCTCATGAGGGTCAAACAATGTAGGTATAACTGCAACATCACGGACGCCAGACACAAATGCTGCGCGGACGGTCCTGGAGCTCACCTTGTCGTAGGGTGGCGGGATCCCGTCAAACACCTTGAGGCGCTCCAGGGCAGCCTGGCCTCGCTTGGTCTTGTGTGGCAGCATGCCTGTGGATGGAGGGACAGCAGGCTTGCTCCGTGGGGCTCATGAGGACCCTGCCCCCCACCCCACCCCCAACCCCGGCACACTGGTGGCCTCAGATGGTAGTGCATGTGGAGTCATCTCATGGTCAGGGAACTCGAACACAAGTGGGAGAAGTCCTCATCACTGGCCACCCATCCACCGGGTGGTCCTCAGGCCCAGCTCACCTCGCACTGTCCGCCAAAAGATGCGGCTGGGTGCTCGGAAGTGGTAGGGGCCACGGGATGGGTTGGTGTTCATGCGCTTGCGGAGGAAGGCCAGGTACTTCACTGGGGAGAGAGAGGGTGCGAGGCCTCAGACCCCAGCCACATGCTAACTTCTTCAACACACACATCCATACTCCCAAGGGCCTGTGAGGGAACGCAAATGAGCACTTCCCGCCACTAGTGGGCTCACTTCTGGAGCCAATGAAGGCTGCCAATCTCCCAGGTCCACCCTCTCCAGCTCTTCTCCCGGGTCCTAACTTACACTTGTTTCTGTAGAAATTGCCAGAAATGTTGATGCCCTCACAGCGCACGACTACAACCTTCCGGCCTAGAGGAAGAGAAAAGTGAGGCAAACAAGGACCAAGGCTGTGAAGCCACCCAAGGGCTCTACCTGCAAACTGGCCATTACCCACCTGCCCGGTTACTGCTGAAGGCTGGAAACAGGGTCTCTTCCCCTGTGTGGAGCCGACCACAATGCACAAGAAAGCCAAGGCCCCAGCAGAGCTGGATTTGTGCTTAAATTAACAGCCCGACAGGAAAGGACTTTTCATCTCAGAGCCCCAGACCCCCAGGAGAGGGAGAAGCTGGAAGGTCTCAGAGCGGTGCATGGGGTTATCTCACGGTCGTGAGACTCAAACGAAAGATGGTGACTGTTGCTCATCACTGACCGCTGGCTGGGAATCACACCCAGGGGAGCTGTAGACAGAGCAGACTTACCCAGAAGCACCTGTTTGGCCACGATGGCCGCCAGGCGGCCCAGGAGATGGCCTCGGCCATCAAGCACCAGGACCTGGTGGAAATAAAATGGAAAGGCTTAGACACACCCTCAGCTTTGACTCCTCACCCTAAGCAACAGTTGCTTTTTACTTGTTTCTTTCACCGTCTCCCCCGGAGTGCCTCCTATTCATTAGGAGGCCTGGAAACTAAGACCCAAGGTCCACTGTACAGATGTGGCCAAGAAAGCAAATGGCTATTTCGGGGCAAGGAAAAGCCTTTCCTCACATCTCACTGCCTTAAGGGCCAGAATTCTTAAGCCCCGATTACATTCAAGGGTGAGAGGGTGAGCTGGGATTTGAACAAAGGCTGGCAAGACTCTGTCCATTGATCCAGTTAGAATTTATAATCCCTGATACAGAAGTTGTGGAATTCCAACAGACCAATTCTCTCGAGGGTAAAAGTTTCCAGCATAAAATGATTAATAAAGAAAACAGGTTCAGAGTGGGTGAGGCTCTGTGGAGTAGTCAGGAGCCTGTGCGGTAACTTAGGCTGAATTTAGCTCTGCATCCCTGGCTGAACTTGAACTGCTCAATACCAAATCCTCAGCTTCTTCACGAGTCAAGTTCCCTCTCTTGCGGAGCGCTCGTTATATACTTGTGATTGTTGGAAGGCAGAAGGGTACAGAATCTAAAGCCAGGCTTCCTGACAATGTGACTTTGGCTTAAACTCTCCAGCTTCCTCACCTGGAAGATGAGGATAACAGTACCTGCCTCAGGAATATTATGGTAGCTAACCGAATGAGCCCAAATATAAAGCCAACTGTGTCAAGCACACAGGAAATGCAGAAAACACGTGTTCCAAGAACTTTACCACCTTCCTGACTCCACAAACGTGCTTTTTCTTTTCCTTTCCTTACCGCCCAGACTCAAGACGAAATTCACACGGACACCCTTTCCCGAGCCATCCCCTCCCTTACATATTAGAATTTAGAAGAGGAATCCAGGGACTCGGAGCGAAGCTTCTGCTGTGTCCCTCGAAGGCCCCCGGGGGGTTAAGGGCAGTGGAGCCTTTTATCAGTCCTCTGGCCTTTATCAAGTATCCGTCACCCCAAAGAACAAGGGAAGAGCAATTCGTTCCTGGATGTCCTGTAGGCAGGAACGCTCCCCCACTGCGTAAGATCTCCTACCAAAGCGTCCAGAGCTGCAGGACACGGATTAACACTCCCACGAGGGTGAAGCGACGCGCGCCTTGGGTACGGCGGGAGCGCCCTCCATTTTGGCCAGTCCCCGGTTTCCCACCGCCCCGAGGCAGCCCAGGCGTTTTCCGCGCGCTTCCCCGTCCCTAGGGACACACAGCCCCGATTCGGCCAACGCCTGGCCGAGACAAAGGGAAACGAGGCCTAATTTTACAGTAACTCTCCCCGTGCTGGGAGCCGCCAAAATCGCCCCTAAGGAAGGCATCATGCCGCATTTTAGTCGGCCCCGGGTCAAAAAACCGTCCTACTTATCCCGTATTCCCCCGTTGCAGACTCCTTTTAGGCCCAAAGCTGCTCATTTTGCTCACTTATCGGCTTTAGGTTTCACAAAGCACCAACGAGGGGAAATAGGGCCCAATCTCGGTCCGGCCCGGAACCCACCCAGCCCCACGCCTTCCCGGCCCGCGCGGAGCCCGCACCTGCCCCTCCGCCATCTTCGGCAGCCGCCTGAGAAAGGAGGGAGGTTCAGCGCAGGGTTTCTTATCCCTTGAAACAGGGGCGGAGGAAGTGACGCCGCATGGGCTGTGCGGGCAGCTTCCCGTCTTTTCATTGGCCCAAGTGTCTTGCGCGTGCGCAGAGGGGCCCCGCTAGAAGGCGGGTCGTCTTCTGACTGTCCAATCCGGGTCCAATCTTTCCCATCGGCTCTTAGGCAGCCATTGCTGTGCGGGGCGAGAGATCACGTGGGGTAGGAAGCGGCTCTGCTTAGGGCGGGGCTGGCCAGCCTGGGCCGCCATATTTTTGAGGGGCTGCTAAGCTCCCTCTCGGGGGTTGCCAAGGTGTCTGCGGTGGGGGGAAGCGCCGTGACCCGCTAAAGCGACAGCAGGCTGCAGGGCACGTGGTGGCCCGCAGGGGGCAAGTGGGCTCTCTGTCAAGCGCCCCGTCTAGGCTTAAAAGGATTCCGGTGCCTCTGCTGCCTCCTTGTGACCTGGCCGAACTCCCGGCCCTGTCTGGGCCTCAGTGTCCCCATCTGTAAAACAGGCGGAAGTAGTTTTCCCTATGAGATCCAAGAGTGTATGAGGGAATGACTTCCAGATGGCTTCTAGGCCTCCGCTTCGGCTGTGTCCCTTGCCTCGGATGTCCTCCCCTCCAGGCCCACCTTCTAAAATCTGGCCTGTCACAGCCCCAGGGCTTTTTGGCTCAAGAGTCCTTGCCTCCTGAGCGCCTCCCGGGATCTCAGGCTGGGTCAGGTATCCAACCTCCCTTACCCCCCCCCCCCCCCCCCCCCCGCCACGCCCGGGCTCCCGGAATGCCTGTACTGCTGCCATTAGAACGCCAATGAGGCGCCCTGGGTCCTGTGTCTTCTCCCCCATAGATCAGGAGCCCCGACAAGGGCGGGTTCTGACGCGGTCTGGGTCCCAGCACTGCCGCGCGCCGGCTCTGGGCCCCGGGAGGTCTCAGAAAACCGGTACTGGATGAAACGCATTAACTGAAAAACCCGGACTCACGCCCAAAATGCCCCGCCCGCACCCTGTCCCATCTACAGACAGGCCTGGCCAGAGCTGGTAGAAAAGGATGATTTATATACAATTTCCTGGGGACAAGGACTTTGTACAGAGGGGGATAGGTGGGGCTGGGGCTGGCGTTGGGGACTGGCGTTGCCTCCATCCTGGGGAGAGAGTGAGCGGGGCAGCGCCGTCGAGGAAGGGACCAGTCTCTAGCTGACTTCCTCCGAGTCCCAGCTCTGTGTCCTCTGGCAGGTGACTCGTCTCGCTGGGCCTCAGTGTCCTCTGTAAAATGAGATGATAGATGTGTCTGTCTCACTGGGCCGTCTGCGGATCCGTGGATAGAGGAGAGGAGAGCACCAAGCTCAGCTCTCTGCACAGACTAAGTACTGAAAACAATTCCATTTCCAGTGAGTGCCTGCTATGTGTTAGGGCATCACTGTCCATCTCTGCAAAGATGGAAACCGTGACACCTGTGCTCTCCCACAGAGCCACGGAGCAGCCACGTGGGAATACTGAGTACCCCAAATGTGCCCAGGGCAACCGAGGAGCTGAGTTTTACGTTTTAGCTAATTTAAACTTAAACTGGTAGTGTGCTTATTAGGAGAGCAGGAAAGCAGAGTGGACAGGAGCAAGGATGCGAGGAAAACTTCCCAACGGATTACCTTTTCCAAAAAAATTGTAATAAAAATTCCTATACAGAAAACAATGAAATGAAAAATCATTTAAACTTAGAAACTGATCCTGGAGACGCCTGGGTGGCTCAGTCGGTTAAGCATCCAACTCTTAATTTTGGCTCAGGCCATGATCTCAGGGTAGGGGGATCTCGTCCCACTGGGTATGGAGCCTGCTTAAGATTCTCTCGGGGCGCCTGGGTGGCTCAGATGGTTAAGCATCTGCCTTCCGCCCAGGTCATGATCCCAGGGTTCTGGGATCCAGCCCCATATTGGATTCCTGGCTCAGCAGGGAGCCTGCTTCTCCTTCTCCCTCTGCCTCTCTCCCTGCTCATGCTCTCTCTCTGTATCTCTGTGTCTCAAATGAATAAATAAAATCTTAAAAAAAAAAAAGTTTCTCTCTCTCCCTCTGACCCCACCCCCCATGCGGGCACGTGTGTGCGCGCTCTCTCTCTCTAAAAAAAAGAAAACAAGAAACTTAAACTGATCTTGGAGTAAGTTATTGGAAAACTTGTTTCTTTTTTTTTTTTGAAAACTTGTTTCAAACAACTTGAGCAGGTGAATCTACTTTTGCAAATGTAAATTTCAAGAATTTTAAATACAGGAGAAGTTGTTTGTTTAAGTAGGCTCCACATCCATAGTAGAACCCAATGCAGGCAGAACCCATGACCCTGAGATCAAGACCTGAGCTGAGACCAAGAGTCAGACGCTCAACTGACGAAGCCGCCCAGGTGGCCCTAGAAGAAAAAAAAAATTTTAATCTCTGTGCCCAACGTGGGGCTTGAATTCACAACCCCAAGATCAAGAGTCACATGCTTTACTGACTGAGAGAGCCAGGCGCCCCAATTATTCAAAAGTTTTAAGTGACATGTGTGGTTTTTGTTCTATTTCTATTGGACAGCCTCTCTTTAAGGGCTTTGCATGCATCACTTAAACCTCCAGACAACTCTATGGTAGACTATTATTAGAGTCTTTTGTACAGATAAGGAAACTGAGGCAGAAGAACGAAAAGCAGAAGGCCCAGAGTCAAATCTTGGTTCTGTCACTCCTCTGCTGGGTGACTTTTGGCAAATTATTTACATCTCTGTGCCTTGGTTTCAGCCTCTATGAAATGGGATAATAATGGCACCAGCTTCGGGGCGCCTGGGTGGCTCAGTCATTAGGCATCTGCCTTCAGCTCTGGTCATGATCACAGAGTCCTGGGATGGAGCCCCGCATCGGGCTCCCTGCTCTGCGGGAAGCCTGCTTCTCCCTCTCCCACTCTCCCTGCTTGTGTTCCCTCTCTCGCTGTGTCTCTCTCTGTCAAATAAATAAAATCTTTAAAAAAAAAATAATAATGGCACCAGCTTCTCAATTAAGTTAATTTGTGGAAAGCCCCAGCATAAGGGCTGTATCACTGAGGCATCATATGTGTGAGCAGCTACTGCAAAATGTTTCTTGTTAGAACCCTCTGGAGCCCTTGGGGCGCCTGGGTGGCTCAGTCGTTAAGCGTCTGCCTTTGGCTCAGGTCATGGTCCCAGAGTCCTGGGATCGAGCCCCGCATCGGGCTCCCTGCTCCACGGGAAGCCTGTTTCTCCCTCTCCCATTCCCCCTGCTTATGTTCCTTCTCTGGCTGTCTTTCTCCGTCAAATGAAATCTTAAAAAAAAAAAAAAGAAAGAAAGAAAAAGAACCCTCTGGGCCCATCAAGAACCCACTAGGGCCTCCCCAGCTTCCTCCCTCCTGGGCCCACCTGCCTCCTGCCTCCGCAAGTGTTCCCACGTTCTTTCTTCCATCACTCACCTCCCCGGGCTCCCTGCTGCCCTGGGCAGGAAGTCCCAGCTCCCTTGCTTGGTGTCTGAGGGCTAGATTTTTCACACCCACACTCACACCCACCCCAGGCTTGCTCACGAGAGTTACTGGAACACCCAGAGCTTTTTCACACCTGGAGGGCTTTGCAAAGGTGGTCCTCTCCGCCCACTTCAGGAGGGTTCTCTCCTGGCTTGCAGACTCCTGCAGCCAAATATCTCCCCTGGGGCCCCTAACGCCCCCCCCCCCGGCCCCCCCTGAGCTCACCCTCTTTCCCTAATCTCCCTGCTCCTCCAGGTCTCCCGCTGGGCCAGACCTAGGGTGATCTGTGCCACCTGTCCGAGCCTGTCAATCTCCAGCCCTGTCCTTCTTGATCCCTGACCCCTGACTCTGCCTGTCCCCATGGTGCTGGTCCTGGCCCTGACTCAGGCCTTGTCCTCTCTCCTTGGACCCTCACCCAGCCTCCACTCTGTCCCCCCTTTATGGCCCCAGCCCCCCTCCACCCAACAAAGTCCAGGGTTCTCAGCCTGGTGAAGGATTCGCCAAGCTTCACGAGCCACAGGGGCAGCCTGTCCTGGAGACTGGAGATGCAGGTCACCTGTGGTCGCCACAGGGTCAGTGCCGCCCCCACAGACCTCCCCATGCCCTCTGTCCACCTGCAGACTCCTCTGCTCCCCAGGGTAGGGCGTCCTCCGCCTCCTCCTTCGCCAGTGCAGGCACCAGACAGTGGACATCAGCAGGAGACCCACGGGCAGCAGCAGCACGAGGAGCAGCAGAGGGGCCTGGGGGGCCGGCAGGGCTGTGGCCTCCAAGGCCCCAGGGCTCCTTGGGGGGAGCAGCGTGGAAGAGTCTAAGGGGAGAGAGGAGTCTGGGTGACCGAGGAGAAGGGCTGGGCCGGAGAAGGGAAGGAGACAAAAGCAGGCCCGGCGCTGGCTGTGTGACTTCAGGTGGGCCGCCCGCCCCTCTGTGCCTCAGTCTTCTCATCTGTAAAATGGGGATACTCATTACACCTGCCGCAGAAGGTGGTCACAACAATTAAATGAGTGACCACACAGGAAGTTCTTAGAACAGCATGGCACCTGGTCAGTTTGCATTTTCTTTTACAATTGGACACATAGATTTCTAGTGCTTATATATCGATTTGTGTATTCTTCTTTCCCCTCCCTTGGGCTGTGAGCTCCCTGTGGGCACCAGGGACCTTCTCTGTCTTATTTATTGGCAGAACCTACTACTTAGCGCTCCTTAAATAATACTATAATAGCTCAGTGTCACATATTAAATATTTGACCAAATGACAAATTGACAAATAATAAAATAGTCAAAGATACCCCCCAGTTTTGTTCCCTCTATACCCTCACCCAGCTGCTCTCTTTTCCCCTCGCTTGCTGGACTCCCGGCACATGTGTCTCTTCACTGTTCCTTAAACAGGCTTCTGCCTCAGGGCTTTTGCACAGGCGGTTCTCTTGTTCCCAACTCTCAGTACCTCTCTAGCCACCCACCTCACACCATGATTCCATCACCCTGTGGTAATTTGCCTGCCTGGGGCTCATTACCCTCAGATATTTTCCTGTTAATTATTTGCTCACATGTTTATTGTCTGTCGCCTCAATTAGCATGTC